GTGCGCTGTTATTTTTGCAACAGGACAACGTGTTCCTCTCATTCCAAGGAAAAGTTAATTATGAATGGTAGGAAGGTATGTTGTGATTTTGTTATGACCAGTTGTTCTCTATTGTGAGACTATTGCAAACGGTAGCTAGTTAACAAATTCCCTAATTTTATGCCATAACAGCATTAGCTTCCCCCTTCCCCCCCCCCCAAAAAAAAAAAAAAAAATCAACCCCCAAATCAACAATGACAAAACAAACAAAAAACATTGACTTCTTGTGCTTCAATTGTATATATGTGATTTGGAAAACCAATGCATTCATTAGGTTTAGCTTTTCTGCCATAAAACTCCTTATGATCTGTTCACGTTAAGATTTTATTCCTTAACAGGATGCTACAAAAAACAATGTATGAAACAAATATGTTTTCTTTTTCCTTGGTACCTTACCAAATAACTGCAGCTGAATGCATTTAGTGTGAATATTACCTAGAGACACTCAGTAGATTAGTGACTGGAACAGAGAAACTATATGTTGGTAGTCATTGATAGTGTGTTGCTTGATTGGTAACACGTGTAAGTGATTCGCTCCTGAATCATCCGAAGTGTATTTTTATCATGCATCTTAGATACAAACTATTTCTTTTCATCGAGAGACTATTCAGTTGTCTAAAACCCATCATATCATGTAACTCACGAATGTAAGCTCCAAGCTCTGTTTGCTGTGCTGTCGTGGTAGCAAAAAGGCTCCACTTTAATGCTGTCTAGACTTGGGCAGATTTGCCTTAACTATGAGAACTGTACTCTGTGCCATAGCAGTATCTAGTAGCACTGTTCATTCAGATGGATTAAATGAAGGCACTGGTCTGCTAGACTGAATACACCAGCTTTGTTTGTTTCTGATAGCAATGTTAACATGCAGTTGTGTGGCAGAGTGTTTCCATGCAACATCAAGCCCTGAGTGTTATCTCCTCTTGGAGTTTGTGTATTAATTTATTTAACATAATTTATGAATTCATATAAGCTCATTAATTCAGTCTGTATAGTAATTCACATTTTGTGAATTATGGATCTTATCAACTTATTTTAATAGCTAAATGAGCAAGTACCTGTTTCCATTTCAAACCATTTAATGAAAAGCGGAGCGCAAGATTGGAGTCAATGCACTTTTCATTTAAAAATAAATAAATAAACCCAATGGAACTCAGCCATGAGAAATAGTGCTGAGGATGAGATATCTTTGACAATAAATTCCCTCAGATTTTATGGGAACAACCTTTCCATAGAGAGAATGAGCAAAGCCAAATTGTTTTCTGACGGTGTCTTCTTCTACGTTATGAATTGCCTGGCATCAGTGTCATTGTGCTATCCCTATTCTGAAAGACAGATTGTAGTCTGTACATTAACATCCTAGGGATGTGTCCTGCACTTAATCAGTGTGAGAAAAATTGACTCCATTAGATTTTCATGGCTGGGCAAAGTGTCCATAGTACATCTAGACTACTTGGTATGTTTAATTAAGGGATACAGTTCCCTGCTCCAGCTCCTTAACCTCATGAAAAGCTTGTAAGCCATTTGTCACAGCAAAATTTTGCAACTGGGTGGCTCAGGAAAACCTGTACCAGGTCCCTGTGCCCTACATAGTTTTTGAACAAATTTCTAGATGACTTAATCACCTCCTCGTACCATCATAACATGCCCAATGGTATTCAACATCTACCTACACATCAAAAAATGCCACAGATATACATTTTTATAGACTGCATGTGGCTCTTATGCTATTTCAGGCATTCTGAGTAGGAAAAAAAAAGGGAGAAAGAAAAAGAAAAAGCATGTATACAATAATAATATGTTTGGACCACAGAGGTACTGCATGAGGCCAAAAAAGAATGCAGGACCAGACATGGTGGTTGCATCCAGGCTATACCAAGTGACCCTATGGCTGCAGGATAGTCCCTGGTCCTTTTTTTATTGAGCAATGTAGGTGTGGCTTCTTCATCATAGTTATTTTTCTGTAGAATAAAGAAAAACATATTTCCTTACCTTGGAGTAGTGTTGTGGAGATCAATACAGTGAAGACAGTAAAGTGCAGGCATAACATAAAATAAGTGCAAATTTTGCTATATTTGTTTATGCAGCTACTATCTATATTTGAGGTTCAGTTAGTCTGAGATGCACCCATTCTCGTCATTGTCCCATCTGATATAATATTTTATTGACATTCTTGTAGACTAGACATAATTCCATTTTTCTCAAAAGATTTGCCGTATAAGTCTTTCCTACTGTGTTTTCTATGTTTTCTTTGTTTAATAGATCTAAACTTTTCCAGGCACAAAACTCTGGATAGTCAAAGGCATTTTTCAGGATGGACTCATTTATACCAATAAATTTATACCTTTTGTAACCAATGAAAAATGTAAGGAAATGCTGACAAAACCAGCTGTTCCTGCATATCATTTAAGATGTACACAATGTAATCTGTGTGGTTTGGCTTGTCATTTGCCATGTTAATGACAGCAAATACTGGCTTTGAGATTAAAAAGAATAATTTAAATTACACTATGCTAAGGAATAAATGAAATTTAGCAGTAATGAAAAAGCTTCGTTCAATGTCTGCAGTTATTGCAAGCTGAAGCAGCTCTTACTGAAAATTTAACCAAAGGGTCTTGATTTCTCTTCAACTGAAATATTCTATGATGCAACAAGTAGTTAATCAGGTAAGTGTCTTGTTAAATAATTTAAAGAGGAAGCGCCAGATTCCATCTTAAACTACAATGATGTAATTCCAGCGGAGTACTTTTCTCTTTCGGAGAGTCAGACACTGCAGTTGGAAGAATGTCAAAGCTGAGGCATGGGAGCGGGTTCAAATGAAACACAGAGCCAAAGAATGACCTTCCAAGTCTGGGAAGTGTGCACAGAGGAGAGGGAACGAAACAAACAGATGATAACCAGCAATGAGGACTTTGGAAGAATTGGCAAAGAAAATGGTGATGGGGAATGCAGCTTTCACTTGGGCCATGGCTTGGACTCTGAGCAATTCTGGGAGCCGACAAGAACTGCCAAGGCAGAGAAATTGGGTAGATTGAGGCTGGCAGAGGAGTCCCAGGTGTGGAGAGTAGTGTATAGCTGTAGAGAATGAAACAGAAGCCTGATGCTGGAGCGGGACAAAGAAGGCAGAAAGTTAGAAAGGACTATTCCAGCTGTTGCCTCACAGTTTTATCAATATTGTAATAACAGCATGGCACAGTAACTTGTTTTCAGCATCATTAAAAAAAAAATACATTTGTAAATATATTTTCCATTTTATTTGAATTTTGCATTACATTTTTTTCCCAAAGGAATTTGCTTATTTGTCTCTCTTGGAAAAGATGTGAGTGCTAGATGGACATTTAATGAATCTGAAATTAAACACTGTTTTACTTCAATACATCTACTTTAAGCTTTTAGAAAAGCAGAGAAATTAAGATGCATCTTTTTGTGAAAAACATTTAGATGTCTAATGTAAAGCTTAAGCTAACAAATACAGAATGGTTTTAATGAACTTTTTCATTTTTTATTTTTTATTAATTACCTTAAAGATGTAAATAAAGCCTGAGTATTTCATACTAATTATACTCTGACTTCAGTTCTAGAGCTCTTCTGCAGAATTCTTAATCTTACTAGGATCCTATAGAGAAGTAATATTTAGAAAAAGCAGGACTATAGTTCCAGTTTACATATAACGTGTTTTTTCATCAGAGATAACCTTTTAATAAGACAATACAGATATTAGTCATAAAATTTATTTAAATAGGTTTCCTGCATTTAACAATGATTTTAATAATTCTGCATGTTGCATACATTTTTAGAAAAATGTTTCTTTAAATGCAGTAGTGTTATTAATGCAACAATAGAGTACTTGTGGTGCCATCAGAATGAATGACATATTCTGGAAGTTATTTTAAAAGTAAGAACAGAACATATGTTCAGAACGCATTAAGAACGGCTCTGCGAAGTCCAGAAATCAGAGTAGATCATATGTTGCGGTGTACCTTGGGAATATTCAAAATAATTAAGAGCCAAAGTAAAGCTTTTATCGGTAAAAGAAGCATCAGATTATCTGGATGCAGCGTGTTGAACCCTTATGACTTTTAAAATCAATTTTGCAATGCTGCTCCTAGCATCTAAGTCCAATGGAAAAGGAAAGCACTTGGCACCCCACAGGCTTTTGAGCTCTCAGGAGCACGTGCCCGCTAAATCACTGCAATTAGACAGAAATTAAACTGGCTGAGGATACCAACCAGCATCTCTTCCTTGCTAAGAACAGACCCCGAGTGGTCTGACTGTGGCTACAGCATTGTCAGTTGCTAAGGGGACAGTGCTGGTCCAGTGTGTTGTTCTGCGGGATTACCTGTGATCACTTTTGAGGAAGAACATTTATTCCATAAAATAGACATGATTTTCTGAATGGCTGCTTGTTCATATCATGTATCTGCCTCTTTTCACATCACTGTCATGTGTCATGGTTTCTCTAATTAGAAGCCCACAGATGTGTTCTGTAAGAAAGTACCATTGTTTCCACTTGTATGTTGAGAGATCTGCATGTGATACCTTTCTTTGAAAAAGCAACATTTTTCTGTTGTTGTTCATGTAACGTTTATATTAAATTGTACACACTATTTTGCTGCTGTAGCTGAATGGCTCATTTTTTCCTATTTTGCAGGAATTGTGTAGGCTGCTTGCTGGTCTTTGAAATGATTAGACTGATTTTCCAAGCAAATGAGGCTTCTGTCAACATGCTTGCTTTGTGAAATGCTTCTGCCTGTCAAAGCTGAGGGGAACCTCAGCTTTGAAACGGTTGATCAAGTTCATCAAGATCCCAGAGATAATTAGGTTCCTTCTAGTTTTGTGGAAATGAACATCCATGTAGAGGAAGAGGAAAATGAAATTAGTGCCCCCATTGAAGAAAAAGCCAGGAGAACTGATGAAATGTCATCAATTATGACAGTTCATTGTTTATACTTTTTGTTTGGCAGCTTCTTGACTGACCAAATGTCATATGCAAAGCTCTGGAATAATTGCAGCATGTGCTGTTACCTCTGGTGGTATAGCAGAGTATGTGATGGGAAGAGCTAAAAATACCCCTCTGAGGAGGGAGGGAAGTGGTGAAAGTCTACATCTGCAGGTAACCTGTCTCATGGAAAAAAATGTCATGTCCACATGGGTTTTGGATTAATTTGACACAGGATTTTTTGGCACAATTTTAGTTTATAAATTCTGTCATTTGTAAGAGGTTATGTTTTAACTGACAAGCACATTTTCTTTGGGATTGCACTTAGCAGTCCTAACTGTACCTTCACGATGCTTTTGTTTCGTAACAGTGCAGCACAGTGGGATGACGTTTACTTCAGTAACTTGAGCCACCTGAGTTCTTTGAGTGTACCATTAAGAGGCCTTGTTGAATTTATCCAGCCCTAAAGTCTTCATGCAACTTGTGTGGCTAATTGAACATCAGCAAAATAATAAGCACCAAAATTCACATTTTTATTTACATTTTCAGATTTTTTCTGTAGCAGACATATTACCCACAGATTAGCAATATGAAACTGAACAACAGTCTTTGCTTGCTCTTTGTCTTAGCTCACAAGACCCTTTCCAACTGTATCTGAGTTGAAAATCTGACCTCATGGAGTCCTGTACTTGGCAGCAGGAAGGTGCTGCTGGAAATATTCTGAGTTTCTCAATCATTTATTCATGAATATGAAGTTACACGCTGAGTGGTATTTGGCCAGATAATTTGCTTCAGGAGTCGGGTTTATGATCCTCATCCAACAATGGCAGACTTGAGGGTATCTGGTAGATCTCTCTTACCAGATGTAGCCAGGCAATTTCTGTCAGAGGGCCCAGGCTGTCTTTCATAACCTTTTCACAAAAACTCTGAGAAGCTAAGACTGAGAGTCACAGATTGTTTGCTTAGTGCCAACAGCCTGATAATGCAAACCTTAATATTAAAAGGTCAGGCATTTAACGTCCTAGTAAAGAGCACTTTGTGTGAGAAACTAATCTGAATAGACTTAACTTCCAAATCTGATTGGCAGCATACACAAATTTGCTGCCAGCAATTCTTAGGGAAAGATGTAAACTGATATCCCAAATCAATTAGGACAACAGCACTGTATTATAATTCTTAGCCATCTTTTCAGTTACTGGAGCAAGTATAGCTTTGAGAGCTATCTTTTGAAGATACCTCAGAGGTCAGGTTTTAACTTCAACATTCTGGGTTAGAGCATTTGGGATTGTCTCATTTGTTTTGCTGTTGCTGCAAGACATATTTTTACATTGTTGTAAATAATCTGCAAGGGTAGAATACCCTAGAAGTGTACATCAAGCTACGGGAACTTTATTAAGGCTACTGGTTTAAAAAAACAGGCAAACAAAACAACCAACCAACCAAAAAAAAAAAAAAGTTTCGGTTCTGTGGGAGTTTTCATCTATTCTTTCAAAATCTGTTTTCATTCCAGATTGGAAGACAACCAGACAAAAGGAACACATGAGCGAGTGCATGCACACGTGTATGCACACAGAAACATGTACCCTTGGAAGACCCCACTAAGTGAAATTTCAACAAAAGGTTGAGTTCTCTTACAGAAAGAGTTTATTTTGATAAAATCAAGATGGTTCATTTAAATTTCAATATTAAGTTAAATATGATAAGAAGTAAAAAGACTTGAAACAAAAAGGCGTTTTGTTCTGTTTTAAATAAAATACCTTGCATATGCTCTTCATTTCATCACTCCCAATGGTATTTCAGTGAAACCATCATATTTCTGCATTTAACTTATTTAACTGTGAGCTCATTTTGTTCATGTCAGGACAGTTATAGATAGCATATCTGTCTGGCATCCTAAATAGGAGGGTATTAATCTAGAGCCTCAACCTTTCTGGTTACTGCTGGCCTAGGTCTTCTAACCCTTTAGTTAGGTTTTTCATTCATATATGCTATAGTTTTTATATATTCTATATCTTCATTAAGCATTGACTGTAATCATATATATACATATATAAATATATACATATATACTCATACAATAATGAGTATAGCCAAGGTGGAAGAAAAAACTCTGGTAGGTTTGGTGAGGATCTTACCTTAAATATGTAAATAATCCATTTATAGCAGGGATCAGATAACTTAGAATTACAAGGTAATCTCTCATAATAAATATTTGCTGATTTTGAGAAAAATTTTTAGAGTTCTCAGAAAAATCAAATATTTATATGTAGCAAACACAAATGTATGTAAATTATACTAATAAGTTAGTCTTAACATGCAATTGTGTCACTATACTATGTAGACTAAACTATGCTGTATCTCATATAGACACATTATATTACTGTCCTTGTTTTTGCAGTAACTGAGATCTTCATGATTTTTAATGTGCTTATTCTCCTATGGCCCTCATGCCAAATTTTTCCAGCAGCTTTCAATTTTAATCACCAAAGTGGCTTCACATCTGTGCAGTGGGAGAAGATTCTCCTGTGTAGGTTGTTTGCTGAAAGCTTTGGGGCTTATGGGATAAAACTTTTATCTATATGCATCAGTTAGTTTTATTATGGTAGTAAACTTGCTGTTGGCAAATGTGTCATTGCAACAGATGATATTCTTCCTTTTGGTAGGAAACTATTGATAACCTGCAAATCATTTGTAGTCTCTATTGATTTATCAGGTACTTAAGGTCTCACTTTGAGCTGTCTGTGCACAGCTGTCCTTCTGTGCAGCAGGCAGACAAGTAGTTTAAGTGCCTTCATCAAAAAGAGCTGCCCCTGGATTTAGGAGAAAGCCTCTGACATTCAGAACTGATCAGCTGTGTTCCTTTTATGAGGCGAATGGAGGGAGATACAGCTTACACTGTTGCAATTGTAACGTGAGAGCAAAACCAAAACAGCTGATCTTTAATAATTTGTCCAAGAGGTGTCCCTCCTGATAATGCTGAAAAATGTAGGCTGTTAATGGTGGTGGGCAGAAGTATATGATGTACGAATATGCTTAGAAATTTTAAACATATCCTTATGAAAAAAAAAGTATTCCATGATGTCAATTGCAAACATGATTGCAAATTGCACATTTAAGTGTGACAGCTTGTGAGGGTCTCAAAAAATTTAGATGACCCTTTAAACATCTTGCAAACTGCATCTCAGATTCTTTACGGGTGGGAGTTTGTGTCCTGGGACATTCTGCTGACATCCATGGCTGGTAGATCCTTTGTTCTGGGATACTGCCTAAAAGGGAGAAAAGAGGGTTAAAAGAAAAAAAAAAAAAAAGTTGAGAAGAATAGCTAACAACTCATACATACTTGATCCCACAGGAGTCCTCATTCCTGTGCCGAACACAGTAATGCTGTCAGAAAGATGGTGATCAAGACAAATTGTGCAGAAAATTTTAGGGCTGGAACACTTTCTAGGAAAGAATAGAAAATCATAGGGGTGATCTGAGGTAAATGTCAGTGCTGGGACAAAGAACTATATTTGCTCGTAAGCTTTGCTGACATTTTCTCTTTCAAAATCCTTTTTACTGTTGCTTTAATCTGGACAAATGTCTATCATTAGGGACTCATGATTTCTGAGATGGCCATTTTGCTCAGCCTGACTTTGCTTTTCAGCTCTGTAGTTGCTTTTTCTAACTTCGGTGAGGAACGAAATTGAGAAAATGAATTGATTTTGCCATATGACAAAACATTTCTGAAGGCGGTTAGGCTGGAGGAGATTAATGTTTCCATGATTTGAACAGCAACTTATCATTTAACAGAAGGATTATGTTGGTACCAAATTGGCTTCTTCTCATGATCTTGTGAAAATTTTCCTGCTTGGTCAGTTCATATCCAAAGAAACCGTTCAGGTATACAGCTGTGTTCTTTTCCCTTACAGCTCCAATTGTACAAGTAGCTTTCCTACGCAGCAAAGGCGTTTTACATACAGGCTGCTGTCTTTCATAATATCCATAACACAGTCCTTCTGTTTGCTCTGTTACTTGTAGGAGCTCTTCACAGCCTGGCAGGACTTCCTTCAGGCTCCAAGCATCCTGTGTTAAATGCCGCAGGGCCAGGGAGCACCAAGACTGCATACCCTTTGCTGCTTCTTTAGTAGGGTGTGAGGAGCCTGGGGCGTGAGGAGCAGGGCGCAGAAGCAAGGCATCCCATGGGGGACAACCTCTGCAGACCTTTAGAGATGGCTGGGAGTGCTGGAGGCAACAGAGCTCAGAAGCAGCAATGAAGGAGATGAAAGATAAAGTTCAGGAGGGAGTGTGACAAAGGAAGGAGCAAGCAGTGGGGCAGGAGCCAAAGGTGGGCAGGGGAAGTGAAGGCGGCGTGCAAGACACAACAGAGGACCTCCATAGCCAGGTTTCCACCAGACAACAACCTGCTCCCTCAAGAAACAACTACATAAAGTACTGCAGATCCATTAACCCTTTCTATTTTCTTCTAATCCCTTCTAGCATTAAATGTGCTTCAAGCATTTGTGGAAGATCATTGTAAATGTGAAGGTGTCAGGCTCTTCTGAAGATACATAGCGTGCTTGTGAACATGGCTCCACATAACAGTGTTAGTTCAGTTTCATGCCCACAAAACTAGAGGAAATTGGACACTATGGTTACAGAAAATTAGAGTTGGGAATGAAAGCAACCAAAACCGAGATTTCTGGTATCTTTGTTCACTACTGTGTCCTGATTCACTCTCAGATGCCATCTGTCTTGTGCTCCGAGTCAGTCAGAGGTGTGACAGGAGGGAGCAGCGTCTGTGATCGATCGTGCAGTGGCACTGTATTGCAATGCGTTGTGCGGCGGGTTACGACCACTTGGGAAATTTTAATTCTGACATTTCCCGTCTTTCAATGGCTTTACTTGGCAAAAAGTAGTTTTTTAATTATTATTATTATTATTATTTATTTTTTCAGCGTTTTCACTGTGATGTGCAACTCTTTAGCTGCACAGGCGAGCTCTGCACACCTGACGGAGGAGCTAGGGAGGTGCTTGTGGAGCCACAGACCGACTGAAACTAACGCTTCGATGGTTTTGGTGTCGGGCTCGACCAATAGCTCTGGGAAAATCATAATAATAATAAATAAATAATAATAATAAAAAAAAGGATGAAAATATGCAAAGTGGTGCGACCTTTATCATTTTCTCCCCCAAATTTAGGAGGTGCTGGGGACTTCCAGAGCCACCAGATGTTGACACCGGGGCAAAAACGTTTCAAAACCGCGTCTACCCCACCTTTTTTTTTTTTTTTTATAAACAAACACATATTTATGGTGGGAGGGACCCAACCTCACCCCCCCCTTTAACCACACAGCCGTGAGGGGCAGCGGGCGCGCAGCCCCCGCCACAGAGGCGGCTGGGCGGGGCTTCGCCTCACGGCCGGGCGCGGGGCGGGGCGAGGCGGTTGGGAGGGAGCGCGCGCCCCGCCGGTTAAACGGCCGCCTTGCGGGCACGCGCACGGCCGTTGGGCGGCGGCGGCGGCGGGAGCGGGGCGGAGCCACGAGCCCCCGCCCCGGCCCGGCCCGGCCCGGCCCCGCTCCGCGCTCCCGCCCGGCAGCGCCGCGGCCGGCAGCGCCTCCGCTGCCCGCCCCCCCCCCCCGCTCCCTCCCCTCCCGGCACGGCACGGCCCGGCACGGCCCGGCACGGCCCACCGCCGGGATCATGGCGATTGACGGTAAGTAGGCCAATAACGCGCTCCCCTCCTCCTCCTCCTCCGCTGCCTCCTCCTCCTCCTCCTCCGTTCCCCTCCCCCGGGCACGGCGCCCCCTTCATCCCCTCCGCCTCCTCCTGCAGAGGATGCCCTGGGTAAAAAAAAAAATAAAAAAATAATAAAAAAAATAACGGGATGAACGGGCCCTCCTCTGCACCGAGCGCTTCCCAGCCGGGCCCCGGGGCTGGCGGGGCTCCAGGGAGGCTCCGCGCTCAGGCGGCAGCGAGGGAGGCAGAGGGATGCTGCGAGCACTTGTTGGCTGCCCGGGGTGGAGGCTGCGCCCCGGCGCCTCCCCGCTCCGCTCAGAGAGTGGGCTTTGCTGGGAATTCCTTAAAAAAATAAAAATAATAATACAAAAATCCCCGAACTTTAATGGCAGGGAAATAAGGCTTTAAGGTGCGCTGCTCCCTTGCTGCAGCGCTCGCTTCCGAAAGCGGTTGTCGTAACTTCCAGGGTAGGGAAAGAGCGAGGGGAGAAACCGCACAAACAGCTCCGGATTGTGTTCGTGTGGGATGCTCCTGGGCTGGCGGTTTCCTTGGGTTAGTGATGCAGGCTGCGTTATTCCAGAAAGCTGTGGGAATTAGCTGGATTGGAAAGTACTCACCAAAAAATAAAATAAAATAATAATCCATGTTTGATATTTTCAGATGATTTAGGGCATCGCTCCTTAAAAGTTAAAGCAAACGATCATGAATGGGTTAAGCAATTTAGCCTGTGAAAAGAACACAACACCTCTCTCATCAAGGCCAGATGTAGAAATAGCCTGTCTTGTACGGATGTGAAATTGTTATCATGGGACTTGGGCTCTGGAAGTCTTTGAAGGCCAGGCTGGATGGGGCTTTGGGCAGCCTGGTCTGGTGGGAGGTGTCCCTGCCCATGGCAGGGGGGCTGGAAACAAATGGACTTTAGGGTCCCTTCCAGCCCAAACCATTCTATGAATCCAGAATTTGCTTTGTAGTTTCTAATTAAAGGGGAGGCAGGGTAAAAATATCCAATC